TGTCGGCCACGCCCCAAAGATGTAAGGCTGTACAGGGCGATTAGTAAAACTGCTTCTGAAAGTGACTGTACCATGCCCATGTGAAGGACACCTGTATGGACGGGCGTGGAAATACGAGAATGGATCCAGCGGATACTAGCCATGCTCTGCCAACGGCCATTGGAAAATGCAAGTGTTCGTGCGAGCTGGGGAAATAGCCGCTCTCGTCGATACCTCATTTGGTTAAAACGCCTGCGTATGAATTCACCCATGCGTGGCTGGGCGCGTTCGACCAAGGGTCTGCTTGTGACGTCACATCTTCTGGTTGCCCCTGACTGGGATGGCTTGCGGCCGGTGGTGGCTGCCGCGCGAAAGGCTGGGTGACGTCCAGGGGGTAAGGCAGACTACGCCAAGCGTTATGACACGCCGAACTTTTTCCACGAATTTTACGATCGGCTGGTGAATCAGCGCCCAGGCAACCAGCAGTGCGTCTTATGGGATTAATCCAACCAAAATGTTCGGGCACAATCTTGAGGAAATAATGCACGTAGTCATGCGTGGCAATTGACTTTGTAGAAACCGTCACTTGCTTACTTGTCACCAATCGCCACAACGTGGGAATACAAAATAGCGATGCAGAATATGCTCGTCTAGTTCGTGACTCGCCGTGATTGGGGCATCGCAAATTCCTTTCAATCGGTTAGTTTTTTTACAGCTATTGCCATTTTGGTTTCATTTGCTCTCTCCTACTGTTTGCAGCAGCAGGCTTGACATACGCCGGTCTAGCTGCGGCAGCAGGCCGACCAGATGTCGAACCAGCTGCAACTGCAGTGTGATCAAGCCTCTGGTCCAAGTACGCCGGTGTCCGGTCCATCTGTGTGCGTGCGCGCAGAAGTTTCTCCCGAAGATGTTGCGTTAGAGTGTCTCAGAATGTCACTTGTTTTGGAAAAGTATTGGTTTTCAGGGTTAGTCGGCCTCTCCGATGCAAAGCGCGTTCCGTGACGTCAATGCTTTCAAAATGTATATATGTATGCATGTGTATGTATATATATATATATATATATATATATATATATATATATATATATATATGAGGAAGGCAAAGGCTTTAAAGTTACGTACTTTTGAGCCATTTTTCTTCTGAGATGGCCAAAAAGGCGCTGCAAAAAATAAGCATAGACATCGATATGAACACTGGAAGCAAAGCTCTTACCGTTTTCATACTGTGCCGATTCCGGACGTTTTACCGTGACATCAACTTTATGTATCACGTGACTAAAGGACAATAAAATTTAGGGAGAGCAACAATGCAAAAACATTAAAATGCCTCGAACTACATCGAGCTGGTGTCAAACGAATCCTTGCGACGGTAGTGACTTGATAGTGTGTACATTAATTATATGCAAGCTCATTTGACATGTCTTTAAGCCCACCTCACCTCACTAAAACCTTTCCATCCTCTGGTTGAACTCAACCAAGATATTTATGAAAAAGTCGAGCCAGGTAAATTAAAAATGTATGTGCTAAACTAACCTTAACTTGATGTTATTACACCAGCATCTCATTGCTATGGCAACACCTTATAACGCATCGAAGCTTTTCCAGTGCATCCTTATTTGCGCTTAGCGGTTAATCCTCTGTCGGTTGGCTTCCACCTCTTGGAGAAGACACTCCATCTGGTCCTCGTCACCGGTTGCAATGCCTGGAAAGGTCTCCATGATTGTCACACTCCTTTCAGCAAAATAAATTGAAACCTTTCTACACCACTCAAAAGCAAGATACAACGGATAAAACGGAGCCGTTGTGGACTTTCCATCCTTCGAATGGCTTATATGGCCAACGGCCAGCAAATGTCTTAAGGAAACGGGATGCCAGTCAAAGAGACTCATCTGCCAGATCCGATAATGGTGTGCCTCTGTTGACGAACGGTGCGGTATCCTCCTAATCCCGCGCTGCTGGCACAGAGAGGTCGTGGCCGACTTCTCACTATCGGTGTTGTCATCCAAGACTAGACAGAACATGGTTGTCTCGGGCGTCAAAAAGCCTAGGGACGGCGTATCTTAGATGGTCAAACCAGACCTTGATGGCGACGAAAAGGGCCGGTGTTCTAGAAAAAAATTGTCGTGGGAAAGGTCCCTAAAACGCAATTACCGATACCGCTGCAATCTCGGCTATTTGACTATAGTTTGAGATTTTCGTGTTTCCCGTGATACTTCGCAAACAGAGATTTCTGCGACGCGAAATCGCGAGCGAATCCAAGGGAAAGGGAGCAACCGGGGCATGCCTGCCAAAGATGGTCAAAGTCTTGCAAGAAATGGTATCTCTAGAGTCTGGACTTGGAAGAAAGCAAAGTAACTTTTACCGAGGGGAGTTTGTTTTGGAACACTTGTATAAAAGGAAACGAAATCCGATGAGTTACGAAAAAATCATGACATTACTTCACCCTATACTCAAAAGCCGGCGGTGATACCCTAACATGGCGTTTTGCACTCGCCTTTGAGCAAAACACGTCCATCCTTGCATCTAATCTACGATAACGTGGTCGCAAAGGCTGCTTAAAGGGAGTGCTCAACATTCCAAGATATTGAAGCAAGCGTTACATGTGACGAAATAGGCTCACATATATTTATTGACGTCCCTTGAAGTGGGAAAGACTGCTCTAGACAGCACAGGTACCTGTTAAACAGTTGTGCTCCCCAATACGTCATTGTTTGATTGCGTCATTGTGACTTGCAGAGCATTGATTGAGAGCCAATTGACGGCCGTTTAATTTGGAAATCGTGTACACCAACGCCTGATATGAATGACTCGACAATTATATTTTCCTTACCTTGAACGCCGCATGGCCAGTGGAATGGCAAGATTTGAAAGACGTCATTATGGTGCTATGGATTGCTGGGTAGCCTTGAAATAGTCTGAACGAAACAGACTGTACATCTCCGCGAGCGTGTAGATCAGCAACTTGAGGGTTTTAGATCTCAAGAAGGTTTAGGGCTGTGAACTGCACCGGATGATCCTGAAGATGTTTTTTCAGTCGAAAACTCCACATATTAAAACAATTTGGAGGCTCTTTGACATGCAGCGCCCCCTATATAATACGTGATAGCCCACCATGCATTATGATATCACATTTGCTTAGCTGATGCCCATTATGCACAGCAAGCCCCACGAAAAACTGCTGAAAATCAGTTCCATTCGTCGGCTCGGAAAGAGTATGGTTTGATCTGATAGATAAGACATCTTGGTTGGTGACCCAACTAATTGAGCGTATGGAAAACCTCAGCCTAAAAGGTGCTTACAAGTTCTTCAAGGAGAGAATCACCAGGGCTGCTGAGGCTTGCACCGTCAGCACAAGGACTAGACCAAAGAAGAACACACTACATGAGCCCAAGGGCCATGCAGCTGAAGAAGAGTAAGGAGGAGTATAATGTACATACGCGCGTATGTACGTGTATGTCGTACATACACGCGGACACAGGATGCTCCGGACCACGCCAGGTTTGTGCGGTGTCGCAATGAACTTTGGAAGTTGACTGGAAATCTTCGCAAAGAGTAAAAGATGAGACTAGAGGCAGACCTCAAAAGAAACCCTAAGGCCTTTTGGAGGTACGCTGATTTAAGACTACGCACAAGATGCAGAGTAAGAGACACGCTGTTATATAGTGTAACATGGAGTGATCCGCTGTTGTATGGAGTGTTACCTGGCAGTAGCAAAAAAAACGTCAATGTTCCCTGAGAAATTTTCGGCAGTGTTTTCACAGACGAGGGTGCTTCAGAGCAAAAATCACTTAAAACTTCCGAGACTTGACCTTTCTCAACAGCCCTAAATAACTCTGCATTTTCCAAAACTGGTATCGTTGAACTCGCCATGAATTGAAGAGCCAGACGAGACACGTGCAGTCCTGCTTCTGTCTGCGAGGGGTTCCATGCCCAGGCGTCGCAGGATGTGCGAGTGCTTTTCCTTACGGCCGATGATGATTTTCATGGCTCTCTTCCGCACTTTCTGAAGATGTTGCGCCTCCTTGGCAGCGCGTTCTACATGAAAAAACCGGTGCACAATATTCTAGCTATGGTCGAATGCATGTACTAAAAACCTGGACAAGCTGCTCCCTTGGTGGATCGTACATATTCATACTGTAGAGTATATATATAAAGATTTCGATCCTTTGGTTACAATCTTACTCACATGTACTTGCCATGATATGTCATTTGATGGTTACGCCTAAGAACTTGGTTTCGGCGGCAGTTGGAAGGCATTTTCCTCAAATCATGATGTCCGGTAGTGCTGATGGCTTTTTGGCTGTGAGAAAAATGCGTGGCTTGACATTTGTCGATGGTTGTGACATTTTGTTTGCTGTCGCCGAATCACGTATCTTATCGGTGTACTCTTGCAGCTGACAGTGCTGATCTGGTTGGTCAATCGGACACGCCTGGTATTTGGTAAGATCACCTACATACTTCAGCTAACTATCAATGTCATCATGATCATGATCATAATGACGGAGTACAATGTCTTGCGAACCGGTAAAGCAAACAAGTTTCGTTAGCAGTAGGACCCACGGGCCTCCCATTTAGGCAGACTTGCGAGGGAACCTCCAATATTGCTGTCAATCGCTGGACAGACATCCCACTATCATATCATATCACAGCCACGATGGCTGTCGACGGTAGTCGGCGCGTGGCGCCATCTGCTAAAATTTGATGAACGGGTGGCCTACGACGCCACCTATTGAGATCTGTGGAAGCTGTCGGGCGCTGGCAGCGGAGTGGGATCAGCGTCCAGTCGGGGCCACAGCAAACACGTGCAGCTGCCAGTTGGGTCTGCCCAAAGACGACAGTACCCTCAGGGTTCAAGGGTTTGCGGACAGCCACAAGTTAACGCCTGATTTGGACTCTCCATTGATCTTTCAATACCCCTATTTCCCACAGGCTCCCAGGCACAGCACCTTAAAGTCATCTGCAGTCTGCTGTTCCGATTATTACTAGGATGACCTAAAACCCTGTATGAACGGAGTGCATCGTTATATTTACCTCCATTCGGCTCAGAACAACACGCCGTCAGGCACCTTCCGTCCGGTTGCATCAAAACAGCACCACACCGTCAATCAGCATATCTCTAAAAATCCTTCACTCGGTACCAACAACCTAGACGTCAGTCCGAGAGCACCAGTCGACGTCAATCACTGGACCATAGGGCGACTCCCGCGCCGCTGATCCCGACCACAGGCCTGCAACTGTCTGTCCCCGCCGGGTTCCACCCGCCGCGCACGGTCAAGCTGGGCGCCAACTCACGTCGGCTCCGGCTCCGTCACGTCGAACAGCCGGAGCTTTCCGTCGTCCATGGCGGCCAGCAGCTGGCGACCGTCGTCGCTGACGTCTATCTGCAGCACTCCGCAGGGTGCCGAGGTAAGCCGGCACTCCAGGCGGCTGCTGCGCGCGTCCAGCTGAAGGACGGCGCCGTCCAGGCAGCCAGCGAAGAGGCGGGCGGCGGCCGGCGCCCAGCGTAGCCCGCTGAGGCCGGCCAGGCCCGTCAGCCGGTGGCGCGGCCGCTGCGTCGTCACGTCCCACACAGTCAGCACGCCGCCAACCGTCGCCGTGGCCAAAAGACCCGGGTCGCTGACGCCGAACGCCGCCGCCTCGACGCTGCGTGGCCCGGCGCCATCCTCCTCGGCGTCCCCGGCCGCGGCCGCCGGCGTGTCGGGCGCACAGTCCAGCGCGCCCAGCAGCTTGCCGCTGGCGGCGCTGTACAGCCGCAGCCACCCGTCCAAACTGGCCGTCGCCACGAGCACGCCGGCCGGCTGGGCGGCCGCACAACTGACAGCGGCGCTGTGCGCCAGCGCACCGCCAAACTGGTGCAGCGTCTCGCCGGAGCGCAGCTGGAACAGGCGCGCCGAGCCGTCCTCGTAGCCGGCCAGCAGACGCGCGCCGTCCGGCAGCAGGGCGGCCGCCGTCCAGGCGCTGCCGTGACCGGCCAGCGTACGCGTGTCACCGCGCGGCACGCGCCACATCCAGCCGGCGCCGTCCTGCGTGCCGGCCAGCAGCGCCGCCGTCGCTGAGTGCCAGCCGAGCCAGGTGAGGTCGGAGCCGACGTCGAAGTCCCACACCTTGGGCCCGGCTGGCAGCTGGTACACCTGCACCAGACCGGCCATGTCGCCGGTGGCCAGCAGCCGGCCGTCGGCGCTGAACGCCACGTGCGCCACCGAGTCGCGGTGGCCGTCAGTGGTCAGCTGCAGCGCGCCCGTGTCCGTGCGCCAGACGCGTGCGCAGTCGTCTTCGCCGCCTGACGCAGCCAGCGCGCCTCCGGCCGGCGAGAGGGCGCAGCAAAAGGCCGAGCCAGTGTGGCCGGCCAGTGTCAGCCGCGACACGTCCTCGGGCAGCTCCTCGGCCATCGCCGCGTCCTCCTCGTCGTCCTCGTCATCGGGCGGCGAGCCGTCGTCCAGCGTGGCCACCTCCTCCAGCACAAGGCCGTCGTCGTCAACCAGCAACTCGTCCGGCGACGGCGAGCGCTCGCCGTCGTCGCCTCGGAACGGCGACGGCGGCGGCGTGTCGTGCTCCCTGCCAGCGCCGCCCATCACGCCTACCTGCAGGAGAAGCACTAGTCAGGTTCAGGGAGACAGTGACACTGCTGAAGTGGTTGGGTTGTTGATTGTCAATGTTGAATTATTGATTTGATAATACTGATTGGTGTCTGGTCTGGAAAATGTATCTGTCTGTCTTACTGTCTTAAACTGTCTATCTGTCCATCTGTCTTACGCTGTGCATTTAGAGCTAACCTATCACTTTCAGGTCATAGTCACACTTACAACTGCTATCATGCAAATTTTCCAACTAAATACAGCAATCAAGAAATGCCATTGTTAACAGGATTGACAATTGTGGCTTTGGTATATCATTACCATGTTCTTGCATATGACATGTCGGGCAAGTATGCACATAGGCACCATCACAGTATGCTAGTCATAAGAACACTATCATGATTTTGCCTTTTGTGGAACACCTAACAAAAAGGTCCATGATTTCTGCCTAGGAAATATGCATTGATGAGCCTTTGTCACAAGCACTTTGCACATGGCTTTCTACCATGACAACCATTCATATGTGATACAATGTTGCATGCTGAAAGCATGAATTAGTAACCTTATGCAATAATGCAGTGCTATCTGGGAAGGTGTCTGCCATGCAATGGCTATCTCTGCAACTTCAACATTTCTTTCAGGGCTGTGGTAGGCTTTTTATCTGTCTTTGGGAATTCAATGACCTGCTGACAAGAAATGGTTATTAAATGCAACTTTCAACATCAAACATGGGCCATTCCCACCTTGGCACATGGTTTATGCCTTGTAGTCTGAACTTGAGCCAAGTGCGGCACCATAGATGCACCAAAGATCCAATGTCATACTGCAATAAACATGTCTCACACAGAACATTTCTAGAGTAGCAGCAACATTGCATCAAAAATTTCAGAGCATGTGTGCGACACAGTTCTGAATGGTCAGACCAGCACATGGAGCCATTTTTTGTGGAATGATGAAGTTTCAAGTGCAATTCAAGGCAAATGTACCCTAAATCCATTTTAAGCTCAACAGTGTAGATTCAGCAGTATGGCCTAGCCTAAGTGTGACATATGTCAGCATAAGGGTCAGTGTACAGGTATTGCATACCCAAGAGTGCACAATTTGTTCTATGATGGTCTATGCCCATCATTTCCACCCCTTCTTAATGCCATCTACGCAGTTCAGTCTTGTGGAAATGTACAACATTTAAAACTGACCTCATTGAATCAACCAACACATGCTTTGAGCTCACAGAGCGTCCCGATGAACGTATTTTGTTCCTGAAAGCAGTTTTTTCTGTTATCCGTTCGCGCTCCAACACCTACAGCCCTTACCTTGTTTTTACCTGAACACTCAGTAAGTAAGCGACAGATCAACGACTGAGTAAATTATGCACCCCAAAAGCACGTGACACCGTCACGTAGGCGAGGGCTTCCCAAGTTATGTCGGCTCCAAACCCGCAGAGCAAGCGTGAATGGACAGAAACGGCATTGCCACAGGCGAAGTCGAGGCCTACAATGACGCGTGCCATTTTGTCTCCATAGCGGCGCCTTAAGACTGATATGGTAGCGCCCTGTTTAGGCTGCCCACACCTAATTATTTTGGCAGGTAAAAGAAATTCACCCCAGGGCCCCTTTCGATCTGTCGTCAGCACGATTGTCAGCTGGAATGCGCGACGCCACGCGTGCTGACTGAGCGTTTGATGTGTGGGCGGACAGGAAAGCTTTTTAACTTAACTTTCCCTTCTTCTTTTACCTTTGACTTCTGTTCACACACTGGTTTACCGCTGACCATGACACGCTACGTACAAAGTGGTGTTTGGAGGTGTGGTTTCCGTTCCGGTATTACCATCATCTATCCCATTGGTATATTGCGTATTTCTTCCTATTTCCAATGCATTTTAACTTCGTCCCTCTCACTTGAAATATAAATTTATAACCCCACTAATTTATCGGGCAACGCAACCACACACTACACCAGTCATTGCCACATCTTTTCATGGCTGCTCTTGGCATTTCAATTCCTACCTTATCTATCTCACGTCGTGTTTCCCCCAAAATAAGACAAGTGCTCCCGCCCCACCTAACGCACTCGCCAACGCAAGAGCTACCAAACAAATTCCCGTTTCTGTCAAGAGAGTGCTCTTTAAGCTGGTAGCGCTTTCTCCCCATGTTGACAGGCTGACAAAAAAATCCTGGCATCATCGTCAGCCGCCGGCACGTGTCGTCACAGGCCACGTGACTTTGTGGTTTCGTGATGTGACGTAGGACGAATGCTGTGCCATGATTGGTGCTTACAAACGTACTGACGATAGATCCAACGCGGCCCTGACGTCATTGCCGGCCGGCACGTGATGTCACATGCCACGTGACGTCACGTAGGGCGAATACTGGGTTATGATTGGTGATGGCAAACGTGCTGACGGCAGATCGAACGGCGTCAAAAAGGCGTGTAGATCGGCCTTGGAAAAAATGGCCTTTGGCCGCATTCGAACTGTCATTGGCACGTTTGTCAGCACCAATCACGGCCCAGTGTTCTCCTTACGTCATATCATGTGACTGCAGTGTCATGTAGCATGAGATATCACGCGCTGGCTGACAACGATGTCAGGGATTTTTGTCAGCTCGTCAGCGTGGAGGGAAAGCGTTACCAGATTTACAAAAAAAACTCTGGTCGCGTTCGATCTGTCGTCAGCACGTTTGTCAGCACCAATCACGGCCCAGTGCTCGCCCTGCGTCACGTCACGTGACCATAAAGTCACGTGTTCTGATGTCACGCGCCGGCTGACGATGGCAGGATTTCTTGTCAGCCCGTCAACATGGGGAGAAATCGCTACCGATTTAAAAATAACTGCCAAGGAAGCGGGAGTTGCTCTCGAGTTGGCGAATATGTTAGGTGGGTAGGGGCGCTTGTCTCTAGTTTTGGAGGGAACGTAGCGTAGGATAGATAGGAAGGGAATAAAACTACCAAGAACAGTCACGAAAAGGTAGGTGGAGTGATTGTTGTGGTGTGTAGTTGCATTCACCAGCATATTAATAGGGTTGGAGTGATCGTAAAAGATGAAGAACACGAGCAGAATACCACGGGTCTCGAATATGAGCTTTGTCAGTGCAAGATAAAGTTCAGTGAAAGGTTGGGCTTGATGCAAGTACAAGTAGCAGTGAAGGATCGGTAAACCTTTTGCACAAAAAATTAGTGAGCAACACTTAAAATGAGAAGGGACGAAATAGAAGTGGGGTGAAAATGCGAAGAAAGCACTCCACTCCGTCTGACGCATTAGTCAGACGATGGTAATATCAAAGCAGGATCCACACTTCCAAACACCGCTTTATAGGAAGCGTGTCATGGTCAGCGTTAAGTAAGGGTTAGTTACCGCTGACCACAGGGGGTCAGACCACACGGTCTGACGTAGTGGAAAGGTAAAGCGAAAAAGAAGGCGAAGTAAAAAAGAACTTTCCGTCAGTCCACGCATCGCATGTTTGTTAGCACACGTGACGTCACGCATTCCAGCTGACAAACGTGCTGACGACCGATCGAACGAGGCCTCTGACAAACAAGCGTTAGTTTGATTTGGTAGATCTTGCGTTGGTGAGTACGTTATGTGGGATGGGGGCCACTTATGTCTTATTTTGGCGGAATGCAACGGAGAATAGATAAAAAGGAAATTGGACTGCCAAGAGTAGCCATGAAAAGATGAATGACGGGGATTGGTGTGATGTGTGGTCGTGTTCCCCAGTAAATTAATGGCGCTAGAGGAAAGGGCAGAACCAGAGGCGGGGGGGGAGACAAGGCCAAGGCCCTTAAAAGGCCCTTAAGTGGGCCTCCCTTAGGCCCCAAAGCCTCCGAAAAGGCCCAAAGCCGGCCGAACAGGTGCAGTTTTTTAAACACCAAACAGCAACAAAGATGGATATCTTTGGGTTTCCAGGCAGGCTAAGAACAGTCGCAGGCAAAAGTGAAGGGCGCACGAGAAAACAAAAAATACTCAATGATTAAAAAGGCTGTAATCTGGGAATTCCTGAACCCCGTATCTCTGTCCAGGGGCCCCATACTGTTTCCGGGACCTATATGCCCACTTGCTACGGTCATTCCGTTTGTTAAGGAGAATGGCATGCTGCCCTTGATTTCTTTGCATTTGTTCGGAGGGCCCTACACTGTTGCTGGGTCCGTCCTGCTGGCGTGCCCAGGGCACTGTCGTCAACCAGAGGGCCTTCCACGGATTCATTCCATTCGCCAGACAGGCTCTGTGGGCTGCAGCCGAGGCGCCGTGCGTTAACCTGCCGTGGTGTTATCGGTTGCTCAAGTGCCCTTTACATTGGTCTCGGTTAACCTACCGAAACACTCGCCATAAGCTCATAGGCCTTCTGCATTGGTCTAAGGCGCTTCCAATTCTTTGTTATTTGCTTAAGGCTTCTAAGCTCTTGTCAGGACCCCCATCTGTTAACCCGCTTCGGCAAACTCGATCGTTCGGGACGATCTGAATTGGGCCTTGGGTACTATCTATTTGAATGGAGGGCCCTGCACACTTGTCGGGGCCCCGTCTGCTAGCATCCTGGGGCACACTGGATTGTTTGGGGGCACTGCACATTATATATTTGATGTAGGGCCCTACGCTCTTGTCGGAGGCCATCTGATAGCCGGCTCAGGAACACTCGATCTTTCGGGGGCCCTCCACAATGGGTCTTGAATGCTTCTTATTTGACTGGGGGCCTGTGCTCTCGTCGCGGACCTATCTTATAAGCGGTTCGGGCACATTCGATCGTTCAGGGGCCCTCTACATTGGGTCTTGGGCACGTCCTATTTAAATGGGGAGTTTTACGCACTTGACGGGGCCCCCTCTCTGTTCGTCTCCTCGGCCACACTGGATTGTCCAGGGCCCCTACACATTGGGTCTTGGTGTTTTAATTTAGAGCTCTGCGCTCCTATCCGGGCCACCTGATAACCTGCTCGGATACACTCCATCTGTCAGGCGCTCTTCGCACTGGGCTTTGGATACTTTTCATTTAAATAGAGGACCTTACGCTCCTGTCGAAGTCCCTCTTGATAGCTGCTTAGTTACATTCAATCGTTTTGAGACCTCTTTACTGGGTGTTGGGGGCTTCCTACTTGAAAGGAAGGCCCTACGCTCCTGACGGGTGTCCCGATCTGTTACTCTGCCCGGGCACACTCGATCATTCCGGGCCCTCCACGCTGTGTCCTGGGTACGTCCTATTGTAATGAATGGTCCTATGTTCTTGGCGGGCCCCATATATTAAGCCGCTCGAACCGGTAGCAGATACAGAGATGGAAGTATGGAAACATGCCCACATGGACCATGCCGAGGGACCTGCAGGATTCGAAGGGGTCTGCCACCGGCCAAACGGACGCAGTCTTCTAACAACACAAAAGCAACCCAATTTTGGACCACAGACGACCATGAACAGTTGCTAGCAAAATTAAAGAGCTCACAAGCAAACAAAGTTAATTCTTCGCTGATTGAGAAAGTGTTTCTTAAGCAACAAAAAACTCCCCCTATGGTGGGAAATTTTGGGGCTCATCACGCTGTCCAGGGCCCTGTTGTCCCGGTCCGCTATGTCCGCTTGCCGGGTCAAACCGATCGCCAAGGAGCTTTCCACGTTGCCCTTGACCTCTTTGCATTTTCTCACACGGCCCAATGCTGCTGCTGGGACGCTATCGGCTTCTATGCCTGGGCGCTCTTGGTCGATCAGGTTTTCCTCCACGGATTCTTTCCATTCGCCCGAAAGGCTCTATACGCTTTTTCCTGGGGTCCCCACATGACAGGACACACTCAGTTGCTCAGCGGCCATTCACATTAGTCTCGGGTTATTCCCACTTGCCCCGAGGGGCTTGTGCTGTTGTTGGAGCGCATATAAGGTAAGGCACCAGACACTCAATGCTCGGGAGCCCTCTATTTTGATTGAGGGCTCTTTGCCTCTGATCTCATTTACGGAGGACTCTTTACTTTTATCGAGGTACTTTATGTTAACCTGCTCAGGTACTGTTGATTTCACAGGGGTATTATTTCATGGTCTTGGGTAATTCCTCTTTGCTCGGAGAGTTCCGTGCTCCGGCCGTAACCTCACATGTCAGCCTGCCGGGGCGTTACCAATGGTTTAGGCCCACCACATTGATTGTGGGTTCTTTTCGCTTGCTTTGGGGACCCTTTACTTGTTAACGGAAGCCTCTTTGTTTGTCTCCTGCGGCACGCATGATAGTTCAGGTCCCGTCCTATCGGCCTTGGTGCCTTAGCCTTTGAGCAGCAATCAGATATTCGCTGATGAATTTTTATGCGCAATCGTCGACCGTGATTTTACATCCCGCAGATGTTGTATGTGTCATTTTCCTCGGCAATTGAGTGTGTGGCACTATATACATGTGCATCACGTTCTTAACCTATTTTGAATGTTGGGCTATTTCGTCCTCGTGTCTAACAAAGTAAATTCTGCATTAGTCATCAGCGATCAACTGATGAGTAATCGTAAAACATGA